TAAATCCGGGCTGTATTTGAGTTCCACTTTCGGCCCCTTTCGGATGCAAACTAAAATTTGCCGTCTTAAGTCATTGCTACGAGCACAAACTGAATTGGTGTCTCCCTGGAGTTCCAGTTCTGTCCGACTCACTGTAACCTTTATTTAGTGCTATTTGGATTTGACTCTCCAAATGGGAATTTATCCAAGTTTGCCTTTTTGATGTGGTTCACCAATCTGTCCCTTAACGTTAGTTCTTTTATGTAAATTTGGTGCACAAATGGTGGGTTGGCATTTAAATGGAGTCATAGTCACATTGGAAACGGCACCTGAATTAGTGGGTATGCAGCAGTGCACTTTGGGTATGTGGATGCAGTACCTGCTGTATCCAGCAGAGGGAGAGCTGGCGCTAGCAGAGTAGTGAGGGTACACTCTTTAATTCATCAATTCGGTCCAGTAACTATGAGCAACCAACGATAATCCTTCATCCTCGAGGCGAGGACAACATCTTCTCTCTTCCTGATTCTGTTAATGATAGTCCTCATTGCACGATGGTAAGGGTCTCCCTTGTCCTCTTCACTCAAGATGCTCCCCAAGATTGAACAAAAGATATATAATTCGCAGCAGACAAAGTCATTAGATTTTCCTCAAATCCGTCCATTGCATTCTCCAACTCTCCGACATCTCCGACTTGTAGTAGACATAATGTGTAAATGTTTTTACCGTAGCGTACAGGTAAACAGCTTCAGTATCAGTGAGTGCGCTGATTTGCGCTTCTGGCCATGCCAGGCTGGGTGGCTTGAGCGTATAAAACTCCCAAACTATGCTTCTTTTCCACAAACAGCGCGTTCCCATGCGATCTCCATCAAGCAGAAACACCAAGATTCGTGTTTGCACTCTTAAGGACAATCAAATAAAAATAGTTTATTTGTTGAGGCCTTTAAAGGCATACACAGGGCAACACAAACTAGCGCTGGGCGTGGCACAGTCTAGCCACAATACTCATTTAAATCAATCAATAAAAAGTTTTATTTTGTAGAGCGCCCTTTCAAACACCAGCGCTTCATCACAATTAAAAAACATTAAAAACATCACACACAAAAGATAAAAACACAATTTAAACATTAAAATCACACAAAAGATATAAAAACCATTAAAACTTTCAAAATTACACAAGAAATTTAAAAAAAAATAAATAAATGACCAGCAGAGTGCATTAAAAATGGAGATAAAATCTTCAGTTATATGCACAGGCAAACAGACACAGTCTTTAACCTGGATTTGAACATTGACAGAGTAGACGCCTCCCTACACATTTTCAGGGAGATTGTTCCAGATCTTAGCTGCATGGATCTGAAACGCAGCCTCCCCATGTTTGGTTCTCACTCTGGGCACCAGCAGGAGCGCCAGTCCCTGTGCTCCTCAGAGTCCGGTGCCGGTTCTTATGACACCAACATGTCACTAATGTATGCTGGTGCAAGGCCTGGAGAGACTTGTACACAAGCAGTGCCGTTTTAAAATTCTTTCTTTGAAGCACAGGATGCCAGTGCAGAGGACGTGAGGGACCGGACTAATATGGTCATACTTCCTGGTTCCTGTCAGGACTCTAGCTGCTGCATTTCTGGATGTACTGCAGCTGCTTACAGGTCTGTTTGGACAGACCTGTAAGCGCAGGCCATTGCAGTAGTCTAGCCTGCTGGAGACAAATAGCATGGACAAGAATCTCCAAGTCTGCCCTGGACACATATATTTCTAACTTTGGCAATGTTCTTCAGATGGTAAAAAAGCTGTTGATGTTATTTGATTTTATGTGGCTATTGAAATTTAGGTCTGAGTCCGAGTATTACCCCAAATTTCTGACCTTGTCTGAAGGAAGTAGGGAGGAGAGACTGAAGTGACAAATGACGCCCTTCTCTTGTTTCTGGGGACCAAAGACAAATGATTTCGGTTTTGTCTGTCTGCATTTAGCTGGAGGAATATTATTTTGCATCCAGTCACTGATCTGTTGGATACAGTGAAGCGAGCAAATCCAGTGGTTTCCATGTTCTCCTGCAGTCAGTGAGACATAGATCTGAGTGTCGTCAGCGTAATTGTGGTAGGACACTTTGTTTTCTTTGTATTAACTGACCTAACGGCACTGCATGTAGAGGGGATTTTAAATAGGAGAGGTCCCAGGATCGACCCCATGTGGATACACCATCAGGTCAGCGGCCACATATCTGAGCGCAGTCTCCAATCTCCCAGAGTACTTCCTATCTCCAGGTAAGACCTAAACCAGTCTAGGGCTGTGCCAGTGACACCAGCCCAGACTCCAGTCTCTGCGATGAGGGATCACCTGGTCGACGGTGTCGAACGCGGCACTAAGATCTAACATGGACCCAAAACTGTGACTTTAACTGCATCAGTTTGAAGTCGAATGTCGTTTTGTTACCTTCACTAGAGCGGGTTTCTCAGTGCTGTGGTGGGGTCTAAACCCAGACATGGAAACATATCAAAAGAATTATTCATTGTTAAAATTCAGTACAGTTGTTGGGAGGCCACTTTTTCAGAATTTTCCAATAAATGCAGATTCGATATGGCGGCGGATAATTTTGAAGTGTCGCGCCAGGATCCAGAGCTGCTCTTTTTTAGGAGAGGTTATTATGGACTGCTGTTTTTAGGGCCTAGGAAATTGTTCCCTGACGACAGAGAACTTGTTTACTATTTGTGTCAGTGAAGGTAACAAACTGCTCAGGGACGGACTTCAGAAATTTAGAGGGCAATATATCCAGGTAATGTGAGGAGCTCAGACTCATGATTATCTTTTTGACCGTTTAGTATCCACAGGTGCAAAGTGAGTTACAGCTCAAAAAAGCTTCTCGGATGTTTGCATTGTTATCGTGCTGTGAGGTGATAGTGTTTTTGATTCCTTGTACTTTGTCATCGAAAAACTGTGTGCGAACTCATTACACTAGATTTAGAGGAAAAAATCTCTAGGGGCAAACTTTACAGGGGGGTCGTAATCAACAATGTTGAAAAACATAACACGGAAAATTGTTACTCAACCTCCTTAATAATGTCAGAAAAATACATTTCTCTTGTTTACGTAGACCGGTTAAATTCACCCAACTCATCTTAACAGATTTCATAATCGCCCTGGAAATTGGATTCGCCACTTCCGTTCGGCCCTCCGGGCACTCTTGCTTCTGTGCCCTAACCGAGTCTGCCTTTGTCATGGGGCCTTTTTTGTACTGGTAAACTATTTTAACGTCACAGGCAGCAATGGCGTCACAGGAAACAGTCAGAACACTTGGTGGTGGACAGAGTTATACAATTCATCAACAGTAGAGCATGGAGTTCTCAAAATTTAGATTCCACATGAACAGTTCACTTGTGTTCCTTCATGTATGTGTCTTCTTCTAACAGTTGTAAATTCAGTGGTGGTTTGCTAAGCAGAAACACATGTCAAAAAATACACAGAACTGATCTGAAAGCAACCTCACTACATTACATTTGGACTACATTAACCCCCTTTGTAGTATTAGCAGGTCAAGAGTTGCCCCCTGCTGTGGGTGGGGCCACTCACGTGCCGAATGAAACCAAAGGTTCAAATACAGAAGCCAGCTCCTTGCATTTCTGTCATAACCTTATCTAACTAGTACATTAAATCACTGTAATAACTAAACTATCAAAATCTGTGCACACGAATGAAAAGTAGTTCAGTAAAATGGTCCAATAAAATCGCACATGGACTGTGGTGGCCTGTACAGGACAATGAAAGAGTAGATGATTGCTTTTGTTCCATTTAAAGAAATTATACGCAAACGATTTGAAAAATTTCCAAGGGCGTCCATTCTTATGGGAGACAAAGTGCTCTCTAAATAACTGCAGCTATGCCTCCCCCCTTTTGTTTCTCGGTTATTTCGGATTCGAATTATAACAAATTGGGTGGTGTTGCTTCTATTAGAACTGCATTTCTGTATTTAGGTCGAGCCATGTTTCAGCCCTAAGCTAAAATCAAGATCATAAGAAGTGATAAAATTAATAATTAAAAATGAATTCGTCTACATAGATCTGGACATTAAGCATAGCAAGTTTAAAATAAGTCAGAGTCGATATGTGGTGATTGATTTCTACTGGGAACAGAAATTAGATTTGCCAGAGTTGGACCGTCTAACTGCTGTTCTGTTTTGATTTCCGTTTTTTAGAATTTAAAAACATTTTTTGAGCTGGTGGCGGAAACCACACACAGTCTCAATTGGCCAAAAATGTGAAAACCATTGTTTGTTGTTCTTTAGCTCCAGATGTAGAAGTGGAGGTCAGCACAGTTCAGTGTTTGGACTGGTAATGCACTCGACCAGACGGCACAGGGCGGCGAGCAGTGTTTGCCACAGTTGTACTCACCCTGGTGCTGTGCGCAGGAGGCGGGGGAGTGCGTTGGGGTCCGAGGGGGATCAGATGTAAACAGTCACGCCCCCCCTCGCGGGAACGCTGAACAACATAGACGTATGTAATCCATCAACAGGCTGCTACCGTATCTGTTTGGGTGTAATCCGTTCTGTATTTACGGATAAGGCTTTCGTAACGTTTCAGAAAAAGGGCAAAAGTTATTCACAAAGACAAAGTTTAAAAGAGCCTGCATGTAGCCTGAAGCCAACACAGAAGCGCCCAACACGACTGTAGGAGGCTGTCACCTCTGTTTACAGTATGGATTTGGACCAGCAATAAAAAACGATAGTCCGGAGGATTGAAGGAGGTGGAACAGATCATAAAATGTTTCTTCGTGACTTTGACTGCTGAAGGTTTCATGTGTTACTTCCACATCCCCCCACGACTACCTTGGAAAGGTATTCAGATTGCATTATCATGCTGAGAACAATCAGATTATGTGAGATATGATCAGTTATTAACCATTTTCACCACTCTTAATAGAGTTGTTGGTACAATTTAAGTTTTTTATGCATTTATCATACTTCCTATTGGGACATTGTCTCTGTATTAATCAAAGCATTGCTTTTCTTCCATTTAGAGTGAGAGCAGCCATGTCAGAGGAGGCTGTGCGTCAGACGCGCAGTCAAAAGCGGGCTCTGGAGAGGGACAATGCAGCTCTCACTGGGTCCACAGAGGACATGGACAGTAAACGAGTCAAACTGGAGCCTGACGACTCTGCAGGGAGCCCATCAGAGCTGGAGAGTGTTGAGGGTGACGGGGTCAAATTGAAGAGTGAGGAGACTGACTGCATCCTAAAACCTGTGGAGGTAAAGGCTACTATCAAAGTGGAGGTACAGACCGGAGACGAGCCTGTCGACATGAGCACGTCCAAAAGGTGAGACCCCTCAACATACTTGGTTTTTTTTCAAATACTGTATTCGCATTACTTTATAACCTATTATAGGTAAGTGCTCCACAAACACCTGCCCACGAACCGGTATAGGCCTTGCATTACCCAACATGAATTATCAGTTTAATTTGGTGCTCTAGCTATGCGCTCTAGCTAAGTTCTCAAAAGTTAGCCAAATGAACCAAAAGAAGAAGCCACTGAGAACAGTTACTGATAAAGGTGGCAGGGTGCGGCGTCCTGCCATAATCTGTAATGTGAACATGTATTTTTGTCTAAACTATTATTAAATGATCCATTATAAAATCAGGTCAACCTTTAAAAAAAATGTTATTGTTATTGTAATGGGCGCCATTATTATTACTTTTTAGTTTTTTGATACCAATACTTTTCGGTGCTGGTTCATTAACGTTTTTTGTTCCAAACGTAGTAATAGAGGATTTAACCTGATTTAACCATGCTATTATGATTTTGTCATAACGCACCTCACATGTGCTTTGATCTGTGCAAGCTTGACTTTTCCTTAATGGGTTAACCAGCAGAGTTAGAGTGTACAAATTAATTGCCCATTTGTTTAGGCCAAGCAATTAGTATTTCCTATCCTATTAGTATATCCTATCTTATGGTACAGTTCACATGTTTACAGAGGACAGGTGCTTTGTGCAGAAATAATATAAAGGTGCACTTTATTAATCCCCATATGGAAATTCATCCTCTGCATTTGACCCATCCCAATGCCACTATGACTTCCGTCAGGAGCAGTGGTCGCTGTAGTACAGCGGGGACCCATCTCCAGGTGATGATGCTCGGCTTGGTCAGGACTACTGCAGCTGTAGGATTTACCTATTGTACATGTTTTTAGTGGTAGGGTTAACCCGACGGCCCGCAGGAACCCTACGCAGGCACGGCGAGCACATGCAAACTGCACTCAGAAAGACCCTGTTCCGACCGGAACGCTTACCCTGGACCTTCTTGCTCAGAGGCGAGAGTACAATCTACTCAGCCCTGTGCAGAAATAATATGCTGTGCAGATAATGTGTTTTCATATTAAGGAATTCAGTTTTAACTTCTTCCAAACCTGGGCAGCTCCAAGTTTTAAGGTTAAGTGATAATCAGCAATTGTAAGATGTTTTTACTGTTAATTTAGTTAATCTTTTGTCAATAAAAAAGTAGATGGAAGGACAATGAAGGAGAAATGTATCAATTTGGACAGGGAATGTTCCAAGGTACTGGGGAAAAGCAGCTGGGAACCTTCTGCTTTCACATGTGTCAGAAAGCTGACAGGCTGTGAACCTATGACCACAGAACTATGACCTAGGCTTCCTATTTTCTTGTGAAGACGTGAACTTGTATGAACTTAAGAGATAGACTGCTTTTACGTGGCCTTAGAGTTGTTGGTCTGACAGGAGTCGTACAGGAAGTTGCCGTGTGGTTGTTGCAGCCTGCCCCCATTCTGAAAAGTTTGAGGCTCCTGTGGCCCGGGCTCCATTTTCTCCACCGCAGCACCTGAACTCTGCCTCACACTTCACACAAAATGAAGGCTATGTGTCACAAACTGGTTCCAACTGGCCGTTTCCATGGTTTCCCGCGTGGAGGGAGCAGTTGGAGGAAGGAGGGGCTTGGAGGACCGGTGCGTGTGTCACATGACCACACGCAAAAATGTCTGATGTCATCTGAATTATTTGGAATCTGATGCAAGCATAGTGTGGTGGAATCTGGGTGAATCATGGTGGAGATTGAGTCCACAGAGCTCTTTGACGTGTCAAAAGGCCTTTGACCCCTGTCTCGCTCTGTGTTAAAGTACTTGTTTACTTTATGCTGAATATAAGCAAACTTGCTCAACCTCATGGATGTGAAGGCCATTATTCCCTCTGCTGTAGTTTGCATAATATGGAAAGTGTTTTGTTTAGATGTTGATATTATACCACACTTTTAGGCCAGGAGACTTCAGAAACAATGTTTGAGACAAAATAGCTGCCATATTCTGTAACACTCCATTGGGGTCGGCGCAAAGTAGAGTCACGCAGTAAGACCGGACATTACATAACCAATGTTCAGTGTGTTGCTTGTAGAAGATGCAGCAATTAAGTAGAAACCTTGATGATGATGTTACCTAATCAAACGTTAACGGTTCACTGTGCTTCACTAGTGTTGTATATGTTGAACCGGAGGCATCAGGGGTTATTTAGAATGTTCACAGGAAGTTAAAGGAGGATACAGAATAATTATGTTTCTGAAATATTTATATTTAGATCATGAACCAATGGCTGAAATAATAGTGTTTTTGTCCTGAATGCTCAGTTATATTTGTTATTCTAAAGGTGAAGTTAACCTTGTTGACCTTTTTTGGTGTGTGGACATCAAGTGAGGGGAACACTGCACATGTGTGGTTGTGTGAAAAAGTTGGTGGATGAGTTGAGTATAAAGATGCGCATGTCTTGTGGTTGGGGGAGGGGTGTGTGAAGTAGTGACTGAACCAGTGTGTACACAATAGGTTGGCTCCTGGCCATGTATTCCCCTCCCCCACTGTCACCCTCTCAGTGTCTCGAGCGGACCACAGCCCGTGACTCTACTGCCGGAGGGAGGGCAGAGGCGAGGCCCAGGCTGTGGCCAGCCACTAGGCCATAGGCCCTACCATAGAGGTACAGGCTCAAATGGAAGAGAAAGGGAGGGCTGGTCTTGGCTATAAACTCAGTGTTAGCTTATAGCAATTGAGCCTCTCTCTGCTCAGGGCCTTAACAATTACATAACTGCTACATGTGTCCCGACTTCCTACTGTCTTGGAGCAGTTTTTACCTCCGTTGCCAGGTTGGTTTTACTGAAAACTATAGAAACACAAACCGTATTCCCACTGAGAAGTAGAACTCTACCCCCCCCCCCCCCCCCCCCCCCAGTCCTATTTATGTATTCATATGAAGACGCCATTCGCCTTTGTTCTTTATAATGTCTGGGGCAGGACATTCTACATTTGATCACGGCTGTCCTGCAGGAGAATGTTTGTGGTATATGTTTAATGTAATCTGTGTTCATCTGAATCCATTTAAAACTCACAACATAACGCATCATTTACCTTCCTATTGGGGTGTGGGCATGTTACAACCTTCCCTGCCGCCATTACTCTATTATTGATCTCTTGGTTGTTCTTGTGTGTCCCTGAGCACATATGCACAGTGCAATTTGGCACTGTGTTAGCAATGCAGTGCCATCTACTGGCCTCAAAATTTACTGCATCAAAGGTCTTCTGTCTACATTTTAACAAAAATGTGTGTTTGTTCTTCCAGCGAGAAAGAGAAAAGTCCTTCATCGCCAGATGTCATTGTGTTGTCAGACAATGAGGCACCCAGTCCCCTCATGAACGGCCACTGCTTCACAAAGACTGACACTGATAAACTTATGGTAAGGATGAAACTTACAGAATCTTATACTTTATTATAATGCATTCTACTAACGCAGCGCTTTTCATGCCACCCAAAGACACTACACATGACATAATTAATTCCCTCCATACACAATGGTGGTAAGCAACTAATGTAGCCATAGCTGCCGTGGGGCAGACACTATTAGTATTATTACTATTATTGATACTTTTGATAGATTTGTAATGATTAGTGGAATCAAACTGCTGTTGAGGTTTGACTCTTTTCTAGCAATAATGATTTCAGACCATAGACCAAGCCCTTTGATATATAATATTGAACTCAATACTTTGGATTCGGTTCATATCAGAGATTTGCAGTTATTAAAATCCAGTGATGACTTTTGGTTTATATAGTGGCAGAATATTTATGGCCCTCAAATCACAACAAAAAATGATCTAATTGTTAGTCATCCTGCAAGAAGGAACTTTATCTTTTGTGAAAGTTAAAACAAACTTCTCTGGATGCATATTGATGAGAAATTAGTTCCACATTTCTGGAACTAATTTCTTGTTCAATTTATATTACATACTTTAATTTGCTGTTACAATAGTTAAACATACATTATTATATACATTTACATCCATAATCCAAAATACTTAGGAAGTTCATATTTAAACTTCATAACAACCCTTTGGTTTTTTTTGCAGAAAAGCTCTCCAGAGGAAAGAGAGCGAATTATTAAACAGTTGAAGGAGGAACTTCGACTCCAAGAGGCTAAACTGGTGCTGCTGAAGAAACTCCGGCAAAGTCAGATACAGAAAGAGAGCACAGCACAGAAGGTATCCGACAGGATGAATGACAAGCATACACAACACAACCATTCAAACGTTCAGGATTTTCTAACCCATCCTTTACTCCTATGTTCTTATGTTTTAATGTCAAAACACAAACCAACATGCAATTTTGTTACTACGTGTTACTCCAACTGTTAGATTTAGTGGAAAACGTGCAAAGGTCTGAGTGACTGCAAATGTTGAACTCCAGTATGTCTCCACAGAATGTGGATTAAAGTATTAATCTCATATGTGTACATTCCAGACGGGCTCAGTGGCCACTCCTCCACCACTTGTGCGCGGTAGCATTACATCAAGTAAAGGATCACTACAGGTATGAGTGCTCCTCTTGTTATATCAGTCGAACTTCCACTATTAAAGTTGCATGTAATGAATTTGCTCTTAAGGTGACTGGCCGTAGCTCAGGGACAGTGATTCCTCCTCCTTTGGTGCGTGGTGGGCAGCACGTCCCGTCAAAATCAAATTCACAAATAGTGATGCCACCTCTGGTCAGAGGAGCCCAGGTATTTGTTGTTGTGAAAAGATCTGTTTTTTTATTATTATAACCTGTAACTATGACAGTTTGGTTAATTTCATATGGTGTTTGTTTCTTTCAGCCTATCACAGTGACTGCCCAGCAGATGGCCAGTCTCCGACAGCAGCAGCACGGTGGTTCTGGGCCCCCTCGTCTGTTGCCAGCTCCCAGGGCTTCAGTGCCTAATGTCCAGGTGCAGGGCCAAAGGATCATTCAGCAGGGACTCATGCGGGTCGCCAATGTCTCAAACAGCAACGTCATGGTCAGTCAGACTGTTGTTGAACATTTTATTTATTAAGTGTAGTTTAACATCTCTGAAATGTGTATTTTTCAGTCCTCTACAGGCTTGAAGGGCTCTTCCGTTTCCTCCAACTCCAACTTGAATGACTCCCCAGCAAGTCGGCAGGCAGCTGCAAAACTTGCACTTCGTAAACAGTTGGAAAAGACTCTGTTGGAGATCCCTCCACCCAAACCTCCTGCTCCTGAGTTTAATTTCCTTCCATCAGCAGCCAATAATGAGTTCATCTATCTGTTAGGACTCGAAGAAGTCGTTCAGAAATTACTAGAGATGCATGGTCGAGGTGGGTTCATGAAAACTATAACATTATTGTTGAAAAGCTTCATCTTAATTTGAATTAAAATTTAATTTACAGGAAATTTAGGCTCTGCGCTTGCACTGGCTAACTGCATCCCTAAAGAGCCACACATCTGTGCCCAATGTAAGACGGACTTTACCTCCCGCTGGAGGAAGGAGAAGAGTGGCACCGTCCTATGTGACCAGTGCATGTCATCCAATCAGAAGAAGGCTCTGAAGGCAGAACACACCACTCGACTCAAGGCTGCATTTGTTAAAGCTCTGCAACAAGAGCAGGAGATTGAACAGCGGATTCTGCAGCAGGCCGCCTCCTCCTCATCCTCAATTTCATCAATCTCTAAAACCAGCTCGTCTTCATCGCTGTCCAAGAGTGATGTGCTGGTGTCGCAGTACAAGCAGGTCCAGGCAGCAATGCGCTCAGCTTCTGCTCATCACTCCATTAAACAGGTGCGCTTCGAAGTCTAAATACTTAAAGCTGGGGTACTTGACTTTAAAACCACACAAAATGGAACTATGTAATAAATTCCATCTAACTAGTTCCATTGTTTCTTTCTATCACTAGTTTTCATTACAATAACAAATAACTTTGGTTTACATTTGTCTTCATCAATTCAATTCAATTGAAGTTGGTGGAAAATTCGGTTTTCAGTAGAGTTTTGTAAACACTCCCTGAGTCAATCGGCTTCAGCCCAAAGAGTCGAACACTATTTCACCCCTAGATGGCAGAACATGTTCTCCCTTAATATGAAGACGGCATTTCCATGTTTGATTTTTTCACTTTGTCCATACAAAGTATTTTACAAGCCTTTTTGTTGGGACAAACATCATGTACTAAGTGTACTAATGTACTAATCTTGCTCCATGTTGCATTTTCAACTATTATTTTGATAATTGATATATCTAGTGATTATTCTTTCGATTAATCCAGAGGTGTCGACCTTTTTTTTTGGTCGGGGGCCAAAAGTATATAAGTGGTTTTCTTTTTATAATTCTTTTGGATACTCTTTTCTGGTAGATGTATTTGAAGAGTGATGGAGCCATGATTTATTATAGTCGTAGTCCAATACCATGACACGTCTGGATTAATCCATCACTTGTTTACAATGCCAATATAATATTTTAAAATTGAAGTGGAAGCTGAAGTGAAGCTATCGGAGGACATTCTGCCTGAATGTTTTCTAGTTTTTTTTTTACATTTACAGTTATATGAAATTCCAACTCTGAGCCTTAAAATCACAATTTACCCTTTACATATGTTGGAGTCTCTGTATACAGCTGTAAATGATTCTTTACCGAAATAGTTAATGATTATTTAAAAAAAGGTTGATCAGTTGCGAGGATTGTTTCCACTATCCCTTAGCTACCCCCAAAATGCAAAGCATTATGGTATTGTACAAGTAGCAAATTGAAAAACCTTGTAGCCCCCATAATGTCCTAATCCCATGTTGGATGGATGCAGGCCTCAAGTACAGTGAATCTCTTGTTGTGTCTGCAGAGTCAGAAGCACCACAGCCTCTCGTCTGCAGTGAGCTCTCGGGGCATGGCACACTACACCACCTCTCAGCTCCAGAGTGCGGTGGCAGCCGCGGCGCTGGGTAGTAGGGCAGGTAAGCATGCGGCTGCAGGACGCCCGCTGCAGCAGGGGGCTAAGGTCAGCGCCAGCAGCAGTAACCAGGGAAACGTGACTGGCTGGAGGAAGAGTACGGGCTCCTCAGGTAGATAACAGTCAGATGAGGTTAGCGGGACATGTGCTTCTGCTCCTCTCTGGGCTCTTCATCCCACTGTAGAGACCCTTTCACCTCTGCTCCCGTCATTCCTCCTCTCTTCACTCTTGTTTGTGTTGGTGATTCCTGCAGTTGAAATCGGAAGTTTACATACACTGAGATAAAACCTATGTAGAAAATATTGAAAATAATCCAGAATCAAAATTTCTCAATATTCAACCTGTAAAAATCTGACCTAGTCTTTTCACCTTAGCTGAATCTGACTAAGGCTGAGAACAGTGATGTTACTTTTTATATGTAAACTTTCGTATTTTTACTGCATTCTTCCAAAATATGGATTTTTGTCATCGCCCCCCCTCCTTAATCCATGCAAATTGGGTATAACATTATGATCACATGTGCTACAGAAAGTTAAGCACCAGACTCCACTCATTTCATCAAGTGAGTAAAGTATCTATTTGAGAACTATATGAAATTAGTGGAGTCTAGTGTCCACCAGTTTTGGACCGCTGAGAAGATTCATACCAGCTAAAAACTATATTCATTCTTACAATATGTGCTTCAATGGTAATAATGTCTTGCCTGATTTGTCTTTTGTTTGATTTTCAAACAAGATTATACACTGTACTCTATACAAACAGAGTTTGTATTAAATACTTATAATTTCCTTGACAGGGGTGACTATGGCGTATGTGAATCCGAGTTTATCGGCCCATAAAGCCTCCTCTGCTGTGGAACGTCAGCGAGAGTATCTGCTGGACATGATCCCCTCCCGGCCCATCTCGCAAGCAGCCAACACATGGAAATAATGCAAGCCTCCGCTCTCTCTAAATCACACCCCTCTCATGTCAATAATGGCCAATGTCTTCACGCAGTGGATTTGGCCCCGAGATGTACATGGACCAGCCACTGCCCCTCGACATGTTTCTCACCCTTTTGTTTTTAACCCCTATCTGGTTTTGACAAGTGGAGTTTATGGGACATCTGGAGTTTGTCTGATAGTACATTTGGAGTTGTGGTGTAAAATTGTACTGCAACCTCTTTGGGTTTGGAGTGGTTGAACAAGCCTTGTGCATCAATAGGAGAGGGCTCTTCTCCTAATGCCGCTTCCTCAGTCAAGAAAGAGAATCATACAAGAAGAACTTCTTACGTCTAGCTTGTTCAGTCTGTGGTCATCGTACGGAATTTACAGAAGACATCAACACCAGGGATGGTGGCTGAACTTTTGAGGGGCGTCTACAATAATAAACTGCTTCAGCTTTGCAAAGGTGAAATCTAGTGAAAAGTTTAAATCCTGGTGCACCATGAGCCTCAGTGCACAAAGGACACGATGAATTATTTTGTATGGCGGAATGTTCGGACTTTGTCTCTTCTGTAAATTGATTACTTCGTTTTGGAATTTTGTGCTCCATGATGCTTCGGAAGTGTACCCTTGTCAAGGTCTGAATTTCCAGGCTTATTGTTACTGTTGAGGTGGTTTTACATCTGAGGGTTCAAAGCAGTGGCCTACTTTTAAATACTTTGTTTTTTTCTATAATGAAGATAAATAATACAAAAATGTGGTTTCACTAACTAATGGAGGAAAAAAAATATTGAGTATCTTTTGGAGGACCATTCTTGGTGAATATTGTTTTAAACCTTCCAAAGAACTAGTGGAGCCCAAATGGAATACCTTCTGCTAGAAGGTTTGTGGTTTGTTTGAACCCTCTTGTCATATAAACATACAGAGTTCATGCTGAACTGAGGGAGTGTATGGAATGTCATATTTTTGACATTTGTTTTGCTTTTAGTCAATAGGTTGTGGTGCATTTTTTTCCTTTTAGACAAACTGTTTGGGTTTATTTATAGGGTCATGTTAGTAAAGATTTATGCTTCTGCCCTGAGTTTGAAAGGATCTTCAGATATTTTGCCCTACACCCGATGATTGGTCCGAGACAAGCAGGACAGCTGTCAGAATGTAGTTATGCAATCCCCTATAGCAAAGATGACATGAACCTCTTAGACTTTAACATTAAAGTGTGTATAATTTCCTTATTTTTTTGCCAGGTCCTTGAGTTGAGCTAACTATGCCTTTCAAATGAGCTAGTCCATTTTATCAGGTCGCAGCAGCACAGGATAAGCTAGTGAGTACATTGTGTCCTACTTCAAAAATGGGTAGATTTCCATCGCTCATGGCATTTTCTTGTCATTGTTCACTGGGACGGTAAAGCTTTAATTATTGTAAACTAGTTAAATGTGTATATACAATTTGAATTGTGCAAGCAATATACTGATCCTAATAATGCAAAATCAATATTGAGCTTGCCGTGCCAGGTTGATAAGTACATTTCTGTTCCTTCATCTCTTCATTTGTTCATATACAGTACCACAAACTCAGTGTTCTTTCAGGGGAGAGGTTAACGCTGTTGTGAATCATTACAATAACTACAAATATAGGTTATAGTTAAAAAATCCATTTTGGTGAAAGAACGGAAAGCAGACTGGAGTAAACTAATACAATACTTCAATATCTTTTATGATTTATTGTGTATAAAATATTCCAGATTACATTCCTGTTTTGCTGACGATAAATATTAAAACTCATGGCATTTTCCTTTACAGTCTAATCCGCTTTCATTATGTGTCACTGTGCTGTCCTGAGTACTGCCTGTTGCTGCTGCTGTTTGGCAACAATATCACCATTCCGTTTATTTGGGGTCACTCACTCCCAGATGGAAAAAAAAAACATTGTATTACAAATTTGTTTTGGATTTTCTGCTCTATCAAATAATAAAAGTAATTTTAACCCCAAGCTTGTCTTTTTGTTTTTTTTTGTTTATATAAAATGGGCAAAGACTGAACTTTTTATGGGGAATAATTGGTCAAGTTTAAAGCCACAGTGGGGGATATTACAACCAGGGGGAAAATAAAGATGGAAACTAATATTTTGCAAATGCATTTAGTGACAAACTATATTTTCTATAGAGCACTTAGCAGTTTTATTCTATGATTGTGTATATAGATTACTGGGATAAAAAAATTAAGATGAGATCAACTTTTTTGATCTCACAATGGAGAAATTTACAAATTTGATAAATGTATGCGACAAAAATGACAGATTTTAACTCTTAACCTTTTTAACAGAACACACTGATGGTGTTCGGATGCCATTTGCCTAAATTTACAAATTGCAGAGAAAACAAAGCAAATGTCCACTTACAGTTAACTTTCCATTACCAACATTATTTTTTGTAATGATAAAGACAGTACAGTATTACAGTACCATTTTACAGTACCTCACTACACGCTGGCAGGCCCAAGCGTGTAGTGAGGGTTTGCTGGGAACGTCTTGGTGAGCCCCCTGTCAGACGGACTTTCAACTCACACCTCCGGGAGAGCTTCTCCCAGGTCCCGGCAGAGGAGGGGGACATCGAGTCCGAGTGGACCATGTTCTCTTCCTCTATCGCCAATGCGGCGGCTCGTAGCTGTGGTCGCAAGGTCTCTGGTGCTGGTCCCGGCGGCAATCCCCGAACCCGGTGGTGGACACCGGCAGTAAGGGATGCCGTCAGGCTGAAGGAGTCCTATCGAGCAATGATGGTTCGTGGGACTTCTGAGGCAGCTGTCCAGTACCGGCAGGCCAAACGTGCCGCGGCCCGGGCTGTTGCAGAGGCAAAAACCCGGGACTGGGAGGAGTTCGGAGAGTCCATGGAGCATGACTATCGGTCGGCCTCGAAGAGGTTCTGGCAAACCGTCCGGCGCCTCAGGAGGGGGAAGCAGTTCTTTGCCAACACCGTGTATGGTGCCGGTGGAGGGCTGCTGACCTCGACTGGGGATATTGTCGGGCGGTGGAAGGAATACTTCGAGGTTCTCCTCAATCCCCCCGTCACGTCCCCCGTCCAGGAGGCAGAGGCTGAGGATGTTGGGGCGGATACTTCCATCTCCCTGGCCGAGGTCACCAAGGTGGTTGGCAGCCTCCATGGTGGCAAGGCGCCGGGAGTGGATGAGATCCGTCCTGACTATCTAAAGTCTCTGGATGTTGTAGGACTGTCTTGGCTGACACGTCTCTGCAACATCGCGTGGCGATCGGGGGCGGTGCCAATGGAGTGGCAGACCGGGGTGGTGGTCCCTCTCTACAAGAAGGGGGACCGGAGGGTGTGTTCCAATTATCGTGGGATCACACTCCTCAGCCTCCCCGGTAAGGTCTACTCCAAGGTACTGGAGAGGAGGCTACGTCCGATGGTCGAATCTCTGATTCAGGAGGAGCAGTGTGGTTTTCGTCCCGGTCGCGGAACACTGGACCAGCTCTATACTCTCCATCGGATACTCGAGGGTTCATGGGAGTTCGCCCAATCTGTCCACATGTGCTTTGTGGATTTGGAGAAGGCGTTCAACCGTGTTCCCCGGGGTGTCCTTTGGGGGGTCCTCTGGGAGTACGGGGTCCGGGGTCCTCTGCTGAGGGCTGTTCGGTCCCTGTATGACCGGAGCCAGAGCTGTGTTCGCATTGCCGGCAGTAAGTCAGACCTGTTCCCGGTGCATGTTGGCCTCCGCCAAGGCTGCCCTTTGTCACCGGTTCTGTTCACTGTATTTATGGACAGAATCTCTAGGCGCAGCCAGGGGCCGGAGGGGGTCCGGTTCGGGAACCACAAGATTTCATCTCTACTTTTTGCGGATGATGTCGTCCTGCTGGCTCCAACGAACCAGGACCTGCAACATGCACTGGGACGGTTTGCAGCCGAGTGTGAAGCGGCTGGGATGAGAATCAGCACCTCCAAATCCGAGGCCATGGTGCTCGACCGGAAAAAGGTGCCTTGCCCTCTCCAGGTGGGTGGAGAGGTCCTTCCTCAAGTGGAGGAGTTCAAGTATCTCGGGGTCTTGTTCACGAGTGAGGGGAGGATGGAGCGTGAGATTGACAGGCGGATCGGTGCAGCGTGCGCAGTGATGCGGTCTCTGTATTGGACCGTTGTGGTGAAGAGGGAGCTGAGCCGAAAGGCAAAGCTCTCAATTTACCGGTCAATCTTCGTTCCCTCCCTCACCTATGGTCATGAGCTGTGGGTAATGACCGAAAGAACGAGATTGCGGATACAAGCGGTCGAAATGAGCTTCCTCCGCAGAGTGGCTGGGCGCTCCCTTAGAGATAGGGTGAGGAGCTCGGTCACACGGGAGGAGCTCGGAGTAGAGCCGCTGCTTCTCCACGTCGAGAGGAACCAGTTGAGGTGGCTCGGGCATCTGTTCAGGATGCCTCCTGGACGCCTTCCTGGGGAGGTGTTCCGGGCACGTCCCACCGGGAGGAGGCCCCGGGGAAGACCCAGGACACGCTGGAGAGACTATGTCTCTCAGCTGGCCTGGGAACGCCTAGGGGTCCCCCCGGACGAGCTGGAGGAGGTGTGTGTGGATAGGGAAGTCTGGGCGTCTCTGCTTAGACTGCTGCCCCCGCGACCCGGCAACGGATAAAGCGGAAGAAAATGGATGGATGGATGGATGGATGGCATTTTACCACCGAGCGTTTTTAAATGTATTTCAGACATTTAAAGACTACAGTAAACGTTCTCGGTTTCTGTAGCCATAGCTGCCCTGGTGTAGCTTGATGTAAGCGTCTGTTCGTGGCCCTGGCTAATCCTGTCTTTGATAGGCGTCTTTTTCTGTACGTCTTTAATTAGTATGAACCGTGTGTCTTCTGAATAACGTCTAGTGTAGCACTTTACAGCCTCCTCTTTGGCACCTGGTGCTCCTGAAGGTCGCCCATCACAATAGTGACCAGATACTGTCCGGCTTAGCTTCAGAGATCTGACGGATAAGGCCCATAGACCAAATATTTATGATCACAAACAAT